AAAATCTGTTTTTTTTACATAAAAATTGGTGAAATTATTTGTGTTTTTGAGTACTTTTTGAACATTTCCAGCATATCTAACAATACAGTGATAATATTGATAATTGTGATCATTTCGGTAACTATGAAATTTTCATGCCGTTTTATCTTTAATAACAATAACTATGTAAAGTAATTCTCAGGGGGTATCAAGAGTAAATAATTTAGGCCAAAGGGGTTCAGTTAACAAAAAATGTTTGAAAGCCTCTGATTTAGAGAAATAGTGTCTCTTTAATTAAAGACCATTGTTAAGCTCTGAAAGTGTAAACCCTCTGAACACAGTTCAATCCAGCTTAAACAGCCCACTTTACCTGTGATCACCCAATCTTATCTGAAAATCTTTATATAGATTTATTATTACAGATTAATATTGTGTTTATTAGTACACAAACTTACATATGTAATTGAATCAACTATCGAAAGCAGATAAAGTTAGTTTGATTAACATTTAAATAAACAATGTATAAAAATAGCACTTAATTCATGTTCGTCAGCTATTTTTGTTCCCTGGTCTGAACGTATAAAGTGGATGTTGGTCAACAAGATCATTCAAATTAATCTTGCAAGTGCTGACTGATACATTGCACTGGGTCAATATGTCAAATGAATGCACTTATCTACAAATATATTCAAAATGGAGTGAATTGAGTTTTGATGCAATCCTATTCTTAAGAAAGAAAACCAACATAATGTTTAAGAAAGATATTTTATTGATGTTGCAGCAGTCCTCTGTAATACCATCAGTTGATATTTAAGAGATGCTGAGCTTTAGTTGTAATGAATACTATCAGACTGCAAATGACCTTATTTACAAATAAATTAGCCATTAAGAAAGTCTTTCACGGATAACGGATAAACGAGATACAGACTCTTCCTGCTTTGACTTTGAAGAAAGTCAAATAGTAAACAAGTGAATGGCGAATGGAGTTAATTAGCCTCATTTGGTTGCACAGTTACAATGAATTTTCTGCCAAAACTAAATATTGTTCAGCTCTGTAACCTTACGGTTACGCCTGGACAATGATTATGCATTGAATGCATACTCATTCCTGTACAATATCTGAGGGCAAAATGTCGTTCTGGAATCACATTCCTGTGACATTTATTCAATGGGGAGGAATATAAAATAAAGTAAAAAAAAGGGCTGAATTCTTGTAGAAATGCAGGAGAAGGCTTTGGACTGGCGAGGACTTGTCTTAAAATTGACACCTCGCTACCTATTGATGCCCAATTTCTTCTGGAAGGCATCACCATCTCCCTTCGTGGATTTCTGTGTGAAAAACAAGAAAAAATTATGACAAATTTAA